TAAGAAATTATATTTCTTTAATTGAAATTTTCATGAAAATAAAGCCAAACGAACACCAAAAGATAGAAAATTTCAATATTTTCCAAGTGAAAAATTATATCAATCAAACACAATTAATTGACAATCCTCAGTAAAGCAAATTCTAGGCAATTCAATTCCCTACAATTCGTTTTCTTTCCACCCAAATTCCATCTTTGAATTAAACGGACCCTTAGTCTATTATTGTAAAAAGTCATTATTTTTGGACATCTGAAGAAGAGAATGAAGTCATTTAATGGTGGATGGGTAGGGTGAGAGTAACCAGATAAGACACAACACGATGGTATTTGTAAACATGATTGAAGCAACACATGCAATCGGTACTTCGATAAACCAACCAGACCATGTATACTAGCTGATGCACAGTTTTTCAAGGACAGCCTTATTCAGGGGTGGACAAGGAAACTTACTGAAGATAACTAATCCCACAAATTAATATCACCATATCTGGTGGTAACAAGTTAGTCAATAAAATTAATTCTACAATATTTCGCCTTGGAAACGGGAATAAGGAAGAACAAGAGCCATGGTTTTCAACATTATGTCAAAACCAATTGTCGATTAACTTCCATAGCCCTATAAATGCAGACATAAATTCAAGTGTCAACAAGATACTTGTCCCAATCAATTAACTATACAGCTGGACCAACAAAAGTTCAGCTCCACTTGTTTAGCTACTAAGCATTTAAAACGTAAAATAACCAAGCAGCTTGACCTCACCCAGGTCAATGACGTGATAAGGCTTCGCTCTTACTTGAGCTAGGCCAACTTGACCTCATATTAACCAAGCTAGATGGGCGAGCCTTTTTAGAAAAAAGGCACTAGGCTCTCTTTTCCATTTCCATTAAGAAACAATCCCTACAAATACTACCCAAAACCAGATTCATTCTCATAATATTCTTCCTCACTAATCTCTAAATCTCTCCATTATATTAAGTAAAATTTACATTCTACTTTTAATCTAAACTTTTTCATTACAATTTTTCCAATTTGTTATATTTAGCATTACTAGTTTCCTAAACTTTCATTTCGGTTGCTACCATAAAGTGGATCGAAAGAATGTAGAAGAAATTGGGTAGCCTTACAGATGATTTGTTTACACAGGATTTAGTTGCATTATTGCTCATTATATAGATTCAAATTGGATTGTTTGCTCCCTAATGTTTTAATTTGCCAAACATTTATTTGGAAATTTTAATGAATATAATCTTGTAAATAAAATATTTAGCATTACTTTAAGCGAATTCCTATTAATGACGTTGCATTTGCAAAGCTTGCTAAATCATTGGAACCTCCATATTTAAGATGACCGTCTGTAGACCAACGTTATGGAAAAGGGTTGGAAGATCTTACTTGTATGTCTGGAGCACCCCTTCACTTCTTTTTCCCCCCACATACAGATAAAAGATACAGTGTCGAACATATCAATTGATATAAAAACTAATACTCCTCTTTTGGTATAGTATACCACTATACCTTCTCTCCTGCACTTATGCCTTATTTTCACCAATTATTACATTTTTATGTATGTAGCAAATTACATAGGAAGATGAATTGGGTTTAGCACAGTTGAAAGTATAGAATCCATTATGCTTTATTTAATCCTTCATCAAACATGAAATTTGAATGGAAAGATTTTCAGCATAGCAAATCAACACTTGGACACAGGTAGAGATTTACCAATTTCTTTTCAAATCTAGAGCCAATTGGTTTTGTCTCTCCGAATGATGTCAGAAGCACTAAATCAAAAACTGACTAAACAGCAGCACAAAAAGGAGAGAGTTGATAAAGAAAAACAGAATGTGAAACATGGCATGATGCAAAATGCAAGCTAATCTCTTGTTATATGTAGCATTACCGGTTTGTTAAATTTTCATTTCATTTGCTACCATAAAGTGGATCGAAATGCAAACTCTTCCAATTCATTTTCTCTTATGCCTTAGAATCTTTATTTTTTTTATGATACGAAAAAATGTATGAAGAAGAAATTGGTAGCCTTGCAGATTATTTGTTTACACGGGATTTAACCCTTGTTTGGTACCGATTAAAATTCAAATTTTAATCTAAATCAAAGTCAACAATCAATTTTAATCGAATATTTTACACAACTTTTCAACCACATATTTCCTCAACTTTTATCAAAATCTACTAAAAATATGATTTTAATCTCTACCAAACATGGGCTTAGTATGTACATTTTAATGCTGATGAACATATTTGCATTATTGCTCATTAGATAGATTCAAATTGGATTGTACAAAAAGTCGTTTATGTAGAATAGTATCACATTTGCTCCCTAATGTTTCAATTTGCCAAACATTTATTTGAAAATTTTAATGAATGTACTCTTGTAAATAAAATATTAGCATTACTTTTAAAGAAATGCCCATAAATAATGTTGCATTTACAAAGCTTGCTATATCATTTGAACCTCAATATTCCAGTAAATTATTCATATAGATATGCATTTGCAAAGCTTGCTAAATCATTTGAACCTCCATATTCTAGTAAATTATTCATATAGATATTTTTGTTTACTTTCAATTTTATTGTTGATGACGGGCTTCGTTTGATCAAAACACGTGCACAATATAGATCAACTCTAAATAGTATTAAATCATGGTACCAAGAATTTAATGCATATGTCCATAATTAAATATGCCAATGAATGTTCAGTGTAAAACTGAATGGAGTCCTATTTATGAAATATTACATTCTTGCAAACATCGTAATCATGTCATCACAAAATTCTGAGCATGTTTGGCTAAGCTTAAGTGCTAAAAATGAACCCAAAAGGTGGCTTCATTCGTTGTACAACGAAAAATAAATTTATCTAGCCATGTTGGCACTTTATTGTATGTTTTGAACATCCCTTTACCACATTTTCGCCCCAAGCAGATAAAAGATACTGTTTTGATGTCAAATGCAAGCTAATCTTACCCGCTCCCCAGCCCCCACCCACATACACTCGAAAATGCATTTTAGAACCTTAGCAAAAATCTTACACCACATTTTGTTTTCAGTTAGAGATAAAATGTGAAAGAGGTCATTTCTTTCTCAGGTTCTATTTATTCTCCTTTTGCTCAAATATAACATTCTTGGAAGTCTCTTTTTTCCTCTTCTCTTCCACATTAATTCAAGCAGACTTTGTGAGTTGGAGCACAAGCAATTCTCTCAGCCTTACATTAACCAGCAACCATGGCCCAACATTTTCCTAAATACACTGCTTGTCTAAGGAAGCTCCAGACTACCAACAAATTCAGCCTTCTTGTCCTTTCAGAATATTCATCCTTCAAGGCCAGTTTCAACTACTTCCAATCACCAAACATAAAGCGATCCCATTTCCACCACTCTCACTTTTAAGACATCTGTCCTCCCATCCCCAAGGACCCCATTTTTTTACATACTCATTGGATCTTATGAGGTTTAACGACATATATGCTATAGCAAAAAATTAATAATTGCTTCATCCAGTTCAATGAAGTTAAATGAAAGGTTTGCATGAAATTATCACCATCAGTAACAAAAAAAAAAAAAGGTCTTGTTAACATGATGGATCCGCTTCCACTTCTTTAACATTCAAATTTTACCGTCAAGTGTAGTAATTACACCAATGAATAAGTGAGGCCATTCTATGTCGTGCTCCCAATTAGAAACAAAAAGAATTCATGCCAATGTCATTGGCACAGCATCAGAATGAACTGCACCTCCATCCAATGGATGTTACAAGATCCCTAATGCACAAACCTAAAATTACATCAACAAAGCCATATAATGACAGGCAAAACAAAACAGTTGTCATACTACTTCAACAATTTCAATTTGAAAGCATTAACTATACGCTCCACGAAGAATGTATTTAGATATAATACAAACCTCCCAAACTCCCAATTAACCTAATCAACACAACTTTGCAGGTCAACATCCTAATACTTGATCGCCTTACTGCCCAATTCCAATCAATTATACATCCTGAATTTGCATTCAGATCCTAAACTCGAAAAGGTGAAGTCTAAATCTCCACAATTTTAAAACAAATTCAAGAAAATGCAAAAAATTTAAAAATACACGAATTCCAGCCGCAGTTACGTCTGGAATTGAACAAAATTCTCCATCTAAATTCTATTAAAACAAAATTCAAATTTAAAAACTTCAATTATATCGTGTGACAAAGTTGGTCAGATCTCAATCATTTTCAAATGTATTGAAAAATTAGACTCACCAAGGTGGAATTGATGGCCGCATTGGAGCTTTGCCCAGGATCTAGCCCCATTATCAGTGACCCCCTCTAAGCAAACTGAGCACGAAACAACCGCCGATGCTGTCTTGTCCCCACCTCTATCACCATCATCCATAAGATCCGCATCACCCAATCCCATAATTCAATCACCAATTCCCAAAACCTACCTTAATTCGAATCTTTCACA